GTCGCGAGTTGGCAGAAGCACATCGGAGGGGTTGTTTGGGTAGAGGCAGCGGTGGTGGCATTAAGAGGAGGCGGATAGGGGTAGGGACAAAAAGGGCTCGAGGCAGGGGAGTGCGGAGGCTGGGGGAGTCGGAGGACCTAGAGAATGGACAGTGTTGGTAGTGATTGTCGTAGTCGTGTTAGCAACGTCAGTCGTGGTAGTGGTATTCAATGGTTTGCCGAGTGGACCGTGTCCGGGAGAAGGATAAGGTAGGAGTAGGAGGATGAGAAGGAGGAGGAGAAGGAGGAGGAGGAGGAGGGAGAGGAGGGAGAGGGAGGCAGAGCCCTCACAGCACGTCCAGAGACGCCTTCGACCGCGGCCGCCGACAACGGCTCCGCGGCCGCGGCACACGGCCCCGCCAGTGTCAAGCGCGGCGTCCGCGGCTCTGCCGAGCTCGGTCTTGCGCTCCGCCACCGCGCATGCACCGCCAGCAGCCATCGCCGCCGCCGAGGCATGGCGCGGCACTGCCGTTGAAGGCGCCGCGCGCATACCGCGAGCGTGTCGAGCCCAGCTCCAGTCCTCCGCGCCGACGTAACTAGCCGATCGCCGCCGCTGGCCGCCGCCAGGCCGCAGCGGCGCTGGGGCACCGCGGCGACTCGTCCCTGCGCCCCTCTAGGCCGAGCACGGCGGCGCCCCCCTACCACCGCAGGAGCGGCGGCCGCGGGCGGGCGCTGCGGCGATCCAGCCTGCGAGCTCCGCTGCGGCTGCACCGGCAGGGCCCTCCGAGCGCGCACGGGTGGCGGCGTGCTGCCGCTCCAGCGCTCTCCGCGACAGACCAGCTTTGTGAGCGGGCCGCCAGCACCGCCCCGCCAGCGGCCGCCAGTGTTAGGGGTAGTGGTGGTTGTGGACGCACTGGCTGTAGTGTTCGTGCAAGTAGTAGCAGGAGGAGGAGGAGGAGGAGGAGGAGGAGGAGGAGGAGGAGGAGGAGGAGGTTGAGCATGAATATCCAGGGGAGGAGGGAAAGGAGAGGAGGGGAGGGAGGAGGGAGGAGAGGAGGAGGAGGAGGAAGAGGAGGAGGAGGAGGAGGAGGAGGGAGGAGGAGGAGAGGGGGGGGGGAGAGGAGGAGGAGAAGTGGTAAGGGAAGAGGAACTTCAGGAGGGAGGAGGTGGAGGAATCAGGAGATGGAGGAAGAGGAACAGGATGCGATGGCGATCGGGTGAGAGGATCGGTCGATCGTGATCCCACGGGGAGCTCGGGCCTGGCTGAGGAGCGCCAGAGACCAGAACCCCAAGGAACCACTGCCGCTAAGCGCCCTCTGCTGGCAAATGCTCTTCACCACCGTTGCCACCTCGAGCGGCAGTGGCAACTCCACCGGCGGAGTCGGCGCCCTCCTGCCCTCCCCTCCCCTCCCGGTCTGCCGCTCTCCCTTCTCCCGTTCCCTTCTGCCGCTGCTCGCCCCCCTCCCCCGCCCGCGGGCGTCACACGCGGCCCCGGAGCTGGGGCCAGGCAGCGGCCCACGCGGAAAACTAAGGGACTGCTCTCGGGCAGTGCGGTCCACACGGAGGCAGTGTCCCGCCAGCTGCGCAGCGCCCAGGGTCCCTCCCGGGTGTGCCCGACTGCGGACACGCGGCGGGCGAGCAGCACCGCAGAAGAGGCGTGCAGGGCCGAGCCGTGCCATCCGAAGCTGTGGTCGCCGAGCCACACCGTGCAGCGCGGGCATCCACAGGGTCATCCTGTCCCTGCCAGGGGGCCAGGCGTGGTGAGGTTGCAGGAGTGGCTGTGTGGCAGGGAAGCGTTCACCCACTTCTCTGTCCGCCGGTTTCCTGCTACATATCTGTATAAATCTATATATATATATACACACACACGCGTATACACTGTTCCTTCCCCCCCCTCTCTCTCTATCTTTGTGTTTCTGTCTCGCTCTCTCTCTCTCTCTCGCCCTCCTTCTCTCTGCCTCTCCCCCTCTCCCTCGCCGACGGGGGGGGGGCGGGCGGAACGCGGGAGCGGGGATCGAGCAACCGGGGGGCGCCGCGTCGGATGGCCTCCGTGCCCTCGTCGGGGCTCGGCGCCCCTAGCTCGTTGATGCGAGGCTGCCCGGGTGGCGTCCGGGCAGCCTCGGGCCGCGTCGCGCCGCTTGCCACTGGCGCTCCAGGAGCAGTGCGGAGAGTCACCACCCACCAAACCACCCCAACCCAACCCGAAGGCCTCAATTTGCCCTCCATTTCCAGTTGGGGGGGGGGTCGGGGAACATTGAAAAAACACGTATGGAACCCTTCCCCCCCCAACCCGAAATTCGGGTCTTCGGGTTGGGTTGGGGTGGTCTGGTAGGTAGTCAGAGAGCTGTCCCAGTCTGCCAGGGCCTCGAGGCAGCGTCCCGACCGGCAGCATCCCACGGTGACCCCTGCCGAAATCTCGGCAGGCTGTGCAACTGGTTGGACGCCGGCTCCAGGCAGGCAGGATGCGAGGGCCCGTCGGCGTATGACACTGGGGGCTGTTACCTCGTGCTCTTGGCATGGGCCCCGATGTACCCAGAGGAGTGGCTTTTTCATGGCCACCCATCGCTCGTGAAGGTGGGTATGATTTGGAATCCCAGGTTCCAAACTACTTGAGGTGCCTTCATAGTTCAATCATCGAATGTTTTCCCTGCTTCCGTCCTTTTCAGTAAGCGTCGGGAGACCAAAGGTATTTTCAACAGCTGTTATCTTCATGTTCCCGTCTACGTCTTCCGAGCAATTGGTGGAGCTCCCCCCTTCGAGTGTGGCAACTCGGAAATGAGCAGACACACCAGAGGTCATGACAACGGTACGTTTCGAGATCTCCAGGAATTCCATCATGTTTCTAATGTTCACCAGGGCTGCAGAATCGAAAGCCGCTAAATACGTTGGATTTCCTGGAAGCATCCTGTGCCAACCGTACGGTGGGGACGTTCGTCAAGGAGTTTGCCCAGAAGACTTCAGACACTGGAGGATTCTTTATCCGATGAGGGAGGCGGTGACATCCATGGCCAAGCCTCAATTTAGCGATGAGCGCCGACATTGGCGCGTAAGCTCCCCGCGTAAGGTCGCGGGTAAGCGCCCTCGTCTCCAATACAGCATGCCGCGCCAGCGGCCCGCGTAAGCCACCGCAAAAGGTGGCTATGTCGTCTCGCGTAAGACCCCCCTTTCTTCTCGTCGCTCAACCGGTGTTCTTCCCACTTCCAGACCATGGATTCCTCATACAGTCGTTCCTGGTCGCAGCATGGCAGCATGCTCGCTCTGAGTATAACGCCGCGGCCTCCGCTCCCAGGCCTCAGCAGCCATGTTGTAGTGATTTGCAGTGCTCGAGGGTGGAGCTCGCAATCTTCGTTGCGTTGATGGTAAAGCCAAAACCCTTCCAGGCCTCAGCAGCCGTGCTGTCGTAATTTGCAGTGCTCGAGGGTGGAGCTCACATTCTTCATTGCGCTCATGGTGAACCAAGACCCTCCCATCGGCGGCGGGCGAGGGGGGGAAGTGGGAAGGAGGAGGTCTGCTCAGAAGGCGGCGGGACTTCTCAGTAGCCCTCGCGCCTTCTGAGACGTGTTCCGTGGCCTCGGGGAAGGCTAAGAAGACGCCTCCTGAGGCCGGGGGACTCCCGAGCCTCCTGAGAGGGCCTGCCCCCGTCTCCTCCCAAGAAGGCCTGCCCTCCTCCTCAGAAGTCCTGCCTGCCTTCTCCTGAGAAGGCCAGCCCCTGCCCCCTCCATCCCAGGGCGGCTCGCCGCCCATCCCGAGGCCTCAGCAGCCAGCTCCCCGCGGCGCGCCACGTGCCCTCCCTGCCCATGTCGGGCTGCTCCCACGCCCGCTGGGTGAAGCAGGCCCCGCCCGCCCCCCCCCCGCGGCCCGCCCCGCCGGCCTCGCGGGGGGCGGCCCCTCGGCTCGGAGCTCGGAGCTCGGGCCGGACGAAGGGGGGGGGATTGGGAAAGGGGGGGGGTACGGAATCTGCTGCATGCAGCTGGTTTCGGCCTCACCGAGGGGCCCCTTCCTCGGTACATGGCCGATTTTCCCGGCGCTGGGAGGCGCCGGGGAAATCAGTTGCGCGAGCTGATTCTCAAAGCCCCCCCTTTTTGCTATCCCTTTGCTATCTCCCCCCTTTCCGCCCGACCCGAGGAGCGCGCGCGCAGGCCTCCGAGTCCACCCCCGCGGGGCCCGCAGAGCAGGGCGCACCCGGAGGTGCGACGCCCCGAGGAAGCTCTCGCGGACGGTGCTTGGCCGTGTGCGGCCTCCCGGGGGCCCTCTGCCGGGCTGCTCGGGGCCGTCCAAGAGCGGCTCGGGGCGGGAGGCCCGCCCTGGAGAAGCGTGTGCGGGCTTCACGGCCGTGCCGAAGGCGTCCCAGAGGTCCGCCTAGCATCAGAGCCCCGAATCGTCAGGGGTAACTCGGGTCAGGGATAACTCGGGTTCGTTTTTCGGGAACCCAAACCCGAATTACCCCGGACCCGAGTTACCCCGGATAACTCGGGCGTCCAGAGCCCCGAATCATCAGGGATACGTCGGGTCAGGGCTAACTCGGGTTCGGTTTCGGGAACCCAAACCCGAGTTACCCCGGACCCGAGTTACCCCGGATAACTCGGGCGTCCAACTAGTAGCTGTCGAGGGCTACCCGGTCCTGGTATCTCGCTTTTTGGAACCTCTTTTTTTTTTTTTCTCTCTCTCTCTCTCTCTCTCTCCCCTGTCTGGGAAAAACGCGAATCGGTTCCTCTACGCTGATGTCGAGTCTCGGTCAGTCTCCCCTCCCACGGCGCCTGGTGCAGGGCACGCTTAGCGTTGTTGGCGTTCACTGCTGCGCTTCATGCTTCGGACGGGCATCACAAAGAGACACGACCGTCAGCCATCTTGAGGCGGGAAGCTATGCACTGTTGGAGGAAAACCTCTAATCGTACTTCATTATTCGAAGGGTAAGTTGGAGGGCCTCTTGGGCAAGGAATTTGTCTATGTTCTTGCCATTGATAAGCGATCCCGTTATGCGTTCCGTCCGGGGCATCCGCGCAAACACGCCTAGTATCCATA